AAAAAAAAAAAAAAGAAAAAAAAAAAAAAAAAAAGAAGAAGCCAGATGCAAGAAACCACATATTGTATGATTCTATTTATATGAAATGTTCAGAAAAGGCAAATTTATAGAGACAGAAACTCAATTAGTGGTTGCCTAGGACTAAGTGTGGGAATGAGGATTATCTGTAACTGGTCAAAAGGGTCCTTAACTGTGGGGTGAAATGTTCTAAAAACAATTTATGGTTATGGTTGCAAAACCTGTTAAGTTTACTAAAAATTGCTGAACTGTATAGTTGAAATTGATGAACTTTATGATATGTAATATATTCTACAATAAGGTCATTAAAAAAACACACACACAAAACACTATGTTTTACAATGTCACATACAAACAAAAAGCAATGATTTAAACATACTGCACTGGCTGGCTGTAGGTGTGTTTATGTAAGGGGAACTGCAGTAGGAGTGGGGAATGGGGATGTAGGGGGATTTATAAATAAACAAATAATTCTAAACAAGGGAGAGGTTTATGTAGAACAAGATGTTTGTGAGCTGTGAATGTAGGAGTATGATCAGCTCAACCTCTTGCAAATGAGGTCTTAAAAATAATACACAGCAAATATTCTTATATTTGTAAAAGGAAAGGAAGAACTCATAAATCCACTTCTTATTTTTGCAGATATTAAAGAAAGTCATATAATATAGAACAACTTCAGGTAACCTAAATTTGTTGCGATTATGCTACTTAAATGCATAAGTACTTGAAATGCAGCATGGTAAATACTCTAAAACCATAAACAGAAAATCAACTCAAAGTGGATGAAAAACCTAATTATAAGAGCCATAACTAAAACTTTTAGAAGAAAACATAGGGATAAATCTTTGTGATCACAGATTTAGCACTGAGTTCTTACACATGACACCAAGAACTTAACCAACAAAAGAAAAAATTAGATAAATTAAAAGCTGCAGCAATCAAGAAATATAGATCTTTAAAGGCTTAGTAATGGAAAACCACTTTTCCTCAAAGTATAGACCATGGAAACATTAGTACTGAGATGCTCTGTCTAAAAAAGGCTCCCTGGTTAAATAAGTTTAGAAGTACTGCATAAAAATCCTGCTACTAACATAGTCAACAATATGTTAGCATATTTAAGTCTCCAAAAAGAATCTCCAGATTGGCCTGCTTAAAATGGACTTCTGATAACCTTAATATAGTTGTTAATACTCTGCATGTTAAGAATAGCTGACATGTTTTGATCACTCAGTAAGTAATGTGCCAAATACTCTATGTACTTAATGTGGATGATCTAATGAATCCCTGAAGTAATTCTTTGAGGGTGGATACTATTATTATCCCCATATGATATCCATAATAATGGGAATAATTGTGACCTACCCAAAAAATATTTGTGAGAAAAATGTTCTAAAGAGAATTACAAAGAAATATTAAAATATGAGGTGTCTACAGAGGTAATCATGTCGAAGAACAGGGTAAATGAAAGCAAAGATTACAACATTATTATTTTTTTTATTGTTGACCTATACTTACTCTATGTGGTTTTTGTTGGAGAACTGTTGTTAAGAAAAGAATTACTTCCGATAACAATAAATAATATATATTTTAAAACAAAAAACAAACAAAACCTGTTAAGTTCTAATGCAGGAGAAATAATGAACAATTAAAAAAGGACAAGTACTCATGAATGCTGCAGGCTAGCTATCTTACTACTTCAATACACTGTGGGATGTCTATAATACTCTGATGAATTACAGTAGCTTATGCACAACTTCAAATAGCAAATGATAAAGAAATATTGATCTATTACTAAAGGCTTAGTAATAGAAAACCACTTTTCTCCAAAATATATACCATGGAAACATTAGTCCTATGAGAAATGCTGCCTAAAAAGGGCCCCCTGGTCAAATAAGTTTAGAAATACTGCACAAATACCCTGCTACTAATGTAGTTAACAATACATTAGCATATTTAAGTCTCTAAAAAGAGTCTCCATTCTTTCAAAAACACATTTGCTTTAATTTACTAATCCACGAAATCCTTTTTCATATAACACCTTTTAGTATTAAGAGGAATACACACTTTTGAAAATGCTTC